ATCCCACCAAAAACATATATGTAAAATGAGAGCCAAGTTCAATACTATAATATATGCCTTGGTTGTTGACTTCAACGACAAAAGAAGTGAGATCTAAATGGGTGCCAAGTTAGGATAATATATTGAAGCCTAAGGTGTGACTTGGCTACTTTTCGTATACGAATTATTATTATAAGTACCTACTAAAACAGTAATGGAAGAGTGAAGATGATTTTCCGAAGAATAAAATAAGAACTCAAAGCTTTAGAACTTGCAAATGCTATAATATATAATTCGTAGCCAAGTCAGACCTTAGGCTTCAATATATTATCCTAACTTGGCACCCATTTAGATCTCACTTCTTTTGTCGTTGAAGTCAACAACCAAGGCATATATTATAGTATTGAACTTGGCTCTCATTTTACATATATGTTTTTGGTGGATATCATTACTTTTTGTATGTAAATTATTATAACCTAACCTAACCTAGCCATGACGTATTCTATAAATAAAGTTTATTACTATATAATATAATTCAGTTACTAATATTAATAATAATATTTATTATAAAATATTTTCCGTTGTGTATACAGAGTATAAAATATATGTAAAATTAATATACAATTATTTTAACTCTTTTTGAGTATATTTTTAATTATCATAATTTTATTGACTGTAGTTTCTACTGTTGGGTGGATAATTCATAATTTGTAAGAATAATTATTTAATTATTTTAATTGTAATATTTAAAAAAAATAATATTAATTACATACATAGATAGAAAAAAAAAGTATGTCGCTGCGCGCGGGTCGACAATATCGACACATATTCGGCTAGTCGTATTTTTGGAGCGGCGATACAGGAAAGGTTATTTAAGTCAACATTACATTAAATTAGAGGCAATTCATTAATAAATTGAAAAATTAAACATAATAGATAAAATAATTACAAAATTATAATAAAATAAATTGATTAAAAAATTAAAAATTAAAAAATTAAAAATTAAAAATTTTCAAGTTTCTGATTTTTTCCTTTGAATTTACCTAACTACCTATCTGTATGCCAAATTTGAACTTTCTAGGTCATCTGGAACTGGGTTAGAATTTTGATCTATAGGTAAGTCAGTGATAAAAATGACGATTTTCGGACGTTAATATCTAAATAACGGTTTGAAGTGTGTTTATGAAATTTAGAGCACATATGTATCTCGTTAGTCTCAATATATGAGCCAAATTTGACATGTTTATGTGGAATAGTTTTTGAGTTATGAGGGGGTCAAAAGTGGCTCCAAATGGTTCGTGTAATATTACACACGGTGCTGCTCGCCAGTTCTGTTAGCTAGAACTTGGCTTGACACGCTACCGCGTGTCTAGATAATACCAGGACGTCATTAACACAAACAATAATGTAATAATAAACAAGCGTAGTTAGGTAATTCAATTTAAAAAAACAATATAGATAGGTACGTCGATCATAACGGCGATCGCGTCAATTGGCAAATGCTAACCGCTTCTGGCTACCGCGTCCGCTGGTAAGCAACAAGTGTGCTGTGCTGCAGCAATCGATTCCGTAGCTTCACTACATGATAGGTGCATCTGATCCAACGAACCCACGGCTACACGAGGAAATGGCAAGGGCAACGTATCAAACCATTGAGTCATCGGTGGTGGTGGAAAACCAGACGATTCCGTTGTGGCTGAAAAGATTGGCGCCGTTTGAGGGGATCGATGAAAACCAGGCCGGGCCTTTGAAAAATTTTGGCAACGGCGGTGGTGGAAATGCAAACAATTCTGCGGCCACACAACACGGTGGTGGTACGGATGAATACAATTCCAGGTCTATAAAAGTTTGCGGTGTTAGCACGTACGTTTGGCCAGCCCCCCCCCAATGGAAAATCCATAAATGAATTGCGCCGATATTTAGCACGTAATTCGCACGTATTCGCACGCCTAGTTTTGAAATTCGCACGACTCTCCTTCCCCCTCAAAAATCAAAATCCATGGGGGGGGCCAGCAACACGTCTTGCCAGCCCCCCCATAGTTTAAATCAACATTTTCGCAATTTTTTTTTTTGCAGGTATTTAGCACGTAATTCGCACGAATTCGCACGCCTGGTTTGAAAATTCGCATGACCTTCCTTCCCCTAGAAAAACAAAAATTCATGGGGGGGGCTGGCAAAACGTTTCGCCAGCCCCCCCGGAGGTCCAAATTAACATTTTCGCAAATTTTCTTCTGCAGACATTTAGCACGTAATTCGCACGAATTCGCACGCCCGGTTTGAAAATTCGCACGACCTTCCTCCCCTCCAAAAACAATAAAATCATTTTTTGTCAAGAGAGATTTTTTATTCAATCAAGATATTTTCCATTGTACTTAGAATATTTTCTTATTAAATACAGTTGTCTATTAAGTTTTTTATTTAATATGGATTGTATATTAAAAATAGATTTTTTTTATTAACTGCAGGTATTTTACTAAAGTTTTTTTTATACATTTTTTATTCAACTAAGCTTTTTTTTAGGTTATACGCAATATTGTAATTAAATATTTTTCCAAGCTTACCATTATAATCTTGATTGAATAAAAAATCTATAAAAAAACCTGAGTAAATTACATTTAGTTAATAAAAAAAAATCAATTTTTAATAAACAATCTATAATAAATAAAAACTGTATTCAATAAAAAAAATAACGGATGTAGAATAGAAAAAATCTTAATCTAATAAAAAGTCTATCTTGACAAGAAACCTTAATAAAAAATCTATGTTGAATAAAATATAATCTAATTTTTAATAAAAAAGCCTAGTTGAATAAAAAATCTATAAAAAAACCTGAGTAAATTACATTTAGTTATTAAAAAAAATCAATTTTTAATAAATAATCAATTTTAAATAAAAATCTATATTTGATTAATGAATCTATATTAAACAAAAAAACCATGATAAAAAATTGTATTCAATAAAAATAATCTAAGTAGAATAGAAAAAAATTGTATTAAATAAAAAAGCCTGAGTTAATCACCTATAGTGAATAAAAAATAATTAATTTTTAATAAACAATCTAAAATAAATAAAAAACATTTAGTATTCAACAAGATTTTTTTCCATTAAAACCGTAATATTAAAGACTTCCGATCTAGAGAAAATCTATATTTTATAAAAAAAAACAATATCAAATAAAAAACTTAATAGACAACCGTATTTAATAAAAAACTAATCTAAGTAGGACGTAGGTACAATGGAAAAAAATCTTGTTGAATACTAAATGTTTTTTATTTATTTTAGATTATTTATTAAAAATTAATTATTTTTTATTAACTATAGGTGATTTACTCAGGCTTTTTTTTATAGATTTTTTAATCACCTAAAATAATCTAAAATAAATAAAAAACATTTAGTATTCAACAAGATTTTTTTCCATTGTACCTACGTCCCTTTTAGATTAGTTTTTTATTAAATACGGTTGTCTATTAAGTTTTTTATTTGATATTGTTTTTTTTTTATAAAATATAGATTTTCTCTAGATCGGAAGTCTTTAATATTACGGTTTTAATGGAAAAAAATCTTGTTGAATACTAAATGTTTTTTATTTATTTTAGATTGTTTATTAAAAATTAATTATTTTTTATTCACTATAGGTGATTAACTCAGGCTTTTTTTATAGATTTTTTAATCACCTAGGATTTTTTATTTAATACAATTTTTTTCTATTCTACTTAGATTATTTTTATTGAATACAATTTTTTATCATGGTTTTTTTGTTTAATATAGATTCATTAATCAAATATAGATTTTTATTTAAAATAGATTATTTATTAAAAATTGATTTTTTTTATTAACTAAATGTAATTTACTCAGGTTTTTTATAGATTTTTTATTCAACTAGGCTTTTTTATTAAAAATTAGATTATATTTTATTCAACATAGATTTTTTACTAAGGTTTCTTGTCAAGATAGACTTTTTATTAGATTAAGATTTTTTCTATTCTACATCCGTTATTTTTTTTATTGAATACAGTTTTTATTTATTATAGATTGTTTATTAAAAATTGATTTTTTTTTATTAACTAAATGTAATTTACTCAGGTTTTTTTATAGATTTTTTATTCAACTAGGCTTTTTTATTCAATCAAGATTATAATGGTAAGCTTGGAAAAATATTTAATTACAATATTGCGTATAACCTAAAAAAAAGCTTAGTTGAATAAAAAATGTATAAAAAAAACTTAAGTAAAATACCTGCAGTTAATAAAAAAAATCTATTTTTAATATACAATCCATATTAAATAAAAAACTTAATAGACAACTGTATTTAATAAGAAAATATTCTAAGTACAATGAAAAATATCTTGATTGAATAAAAAATCTCTCTTGACAAAAAATGATTTTATTGTTTTTGGAGGGAAGGAAGGTCGTGCGAATTTTCAAACCGGGCGTGCGAATTCGTGCGAATTACGTGCTAAATGTCTGCAGAAGAAAATTTGCGAAAATGTTAATTTGGACCTCCGGGGGGGCTGGCGAAACGTTTTGCCAGCCCCCCCCCATGAATTTTTGTTTTTCTAGGGGAAGGAAGGTCGTGCGAATTTTCAAACCAGGCGTGCGAATTCGTGCGAATCACGTGCTAAATGTCTGCAGAAGAAAATTTGCGAAAATGTTAATTTGGACCTCCGGGGGGGCTGGCGAAACGTTTTGCCAGCCCCCCCATGAATTTTTGTTTTTCTAGGGGAAGGAAGGTCGTGCGAATTTTCAAACCAGGCGTGCGAATTCGTGCGAATTACGTGCTAAATATCTGCAAAAAAAAAATTGCGAAAATGTTGATTTAAACTATGGGGGGGGCTGGCAAGACGTGTTGCTGGCCCCCCCCATGGATTTTGATTTTTGAGGGGGAAGGAGAGTCGTGCGAATTTCAAAACTAGGCGTGCGAATACGTGCGAATCACGTGCTAAATATCTGCAAAAAAAAATTGCGAAAATGTTGATTTAAACTATGGGGGGGGGGCTGGCAAGACGTGTTGCTGGCCCCCCCATGGATTTTGATTTTTGAGGGGGAAGGAAGGTCGTGCGAATTATCAAACCAGGCGTGCGAATTCGTGCGAATTACGTGCTAAATATCTGTATAGTTTGTTTACAGTTTTTCCTTTGGGGGGGGGGGGGGCTGGCCAAACGTACGTGGTGTTAGCTCTTGCTGTATTGGCAAATTGACCTGAGTTCCCACACCAGCAACAGATTTGCTTAAACATCCCTTAAACATTAGAAAAATCAAGTATTAATATATTATTTTGTATCACATCGCATAGATGCGAAGTACAATATTATATTCAGTCTAGACGTCTTGTTAGATACTATTTTTCAAGTAAAGATTTGGAAAAGTATTTAACATGGTTCCCGCCCGGCGTTGCCCTTTCCAAAGAATTGTTATTTTTTTTATTAATACATTTGCAAAAAAAAGGTGGGCAAGTGTTTATATAATAATTTAAATACAGTACAATATAATATTCGGCTAAATTTTACAAAACAAGAATTAATATAATATAATATTCTCAATTATATTTTTATTTTACGTGATCCAAATTCATCCTTTTCTCTGATTTATTTAGTTTTTTTCCACGGCCAACACTTTTGTTTTTTAATGTACTATGTACAACTTGAATTCAATGATATAATATCATTGTATAAGAAAAACGATTTTGAGAGGAGATGGTTTGTCAGTCTGGATATTGTTATTATGTATTATATCGTGTTAAGTTCAATCTATATTATAATAGTTATTATTATTTTTTATTCGTTTCTCTGGTGATAAACATAGCGTTAGAAATTAAAACCCCATATTTAGCGATTTTTCATAATTTTTAGGTGGTTCTTCCATAAAACAACTATTGAGAAAAATGACCTTTCTAAAGTAGCTTACATGATCCCATTTTCTAAAAGATAAGGCACTATAATACTATATGTTGAAATCGAAGCACTCCTTCTGGTAGATATTTTGAATACAGAATATATTATATAAAAAAAAAAAAAAAAACACCATTGTAAAACCACTAGCTTCCTCGCTCCGCTCAGAACCTAATATTGAAAAATAGAGTTAAATGTGACCTGTAGAATATTACCCTCTATGTATTAGTTAAAAAAAAATTATCAAATTTGGTTAATTCTACAGGACATGATGATTATTCCCTCAGAGTGTATTTTTTTGGACAAAATTACATTGGCGTCGGGGGCCTTAATAATAATATAGCCTATAGGTGTTATAAATGCATAATATTACAATATTCAACTATACAAAAAAAATTATAATATTTAAACAAATCTAAATCAATACTCTCACACTTAAAATCAAATTTTACATCAACAATATAGTCGTATACCTACCTACTCTATATTTGATCAAACAATTAATTTATTTGAATCTCTTAAAAATTAATAATAACCATCTATTTATATAAAAAAAGCTTGGAGCCTGGAGGTCATTAACCTTGACATATTTTTTAAATGTAACTTATGAATTATTATAATTTATAAATATAATATATTTCTGTTTAAAAATAATTTATACATTTGTGTGAACACTTTTATATTATTAAATTTTAACTAGGTATACAGTTTTACTTGGTATGTAAAAAAACTTGGTTGTTCCAGTTGTTTAGTATGTTATATATTATAGGTACCCAAAGTACATTGTACTAAACGATACTTCAACAACAAGGATAAAGCACGTGTTATTGGTCACCTGCTATGAATAACATATTTCATGGCATTTTGTTATGTATACTATTCAGTAAATTATTTAAAATATAATATAATATATTATTTATTTACTACCGAGCTTATAATATATTTAAATATTACGAACGTCCATCTTATTTAATAAAGATTAGTTTAATGTTGAGGAAATCAAATATTATAGATTGCT